CGATGGATTGCAGTAGCCACTTACCACTGGGGACTGGTGGATTATGAGGTGGTTTATCTCTTCAGTTTTATAAAAAATAAATAGAAACACTTACTTATTAAAAGATTCTTTAGAGGGAAACTGAAACAGGAGATAAGCAGTAGCGTGTTTCCGATAAAAACTCAAAATAATAAAAAAACGGCCACAGCCCATCCGCCTGCCAAGCATGTCAACTGTGACAAAATCCCCCCCATAAGATAATCTATGGGGAGGCCTATGTCCGCAGTGAACTTTAAAATACTGTAATGGATGCATTTATGGATATATTTTGTTGTGAAGTGAGTGGAAGTGAGTCACTTAAAATATAATTAGTATTGAAAATTAAAATTTTGGATTTATTAGATAGGTAAGAAAATAATTCATTAACATTGTTCTACTCATTGTCATTTCCCATAAATTAATATTATTTATGAGCGAAGAACTATTGTTATATGTTTTGTTCTTATCAATAATATCTTTATTTAAAGGAAAATATAGCGTCAGGGATTCTCGTATAAGAAGCCTGTCGATACAGGAGAAGATTCTAGTGTGGAGGTAACGTTTTTTAAAAAGAGAGGAAGAGAGACAAGTTATGAAATTAAAAATTTTGTACAACCGACTTCAATATTAATAGGTATTTTAAGGATAACTCCAAAACTACTGGTCAGATTTTGATCACATTTATTTCTGATATAATGTATACATTATAAGCACCAGCTTTCAAATAAAAAAGAATCATCAAAATCGGTTCACATAGGAAAAAGTTCTGAAGTAACACACATGAAAAATACAGTCAAATTGAGTATCTCCCCCTTTTTGAAGTCGATTAAAATTGGTAAGTAGGTAAATTATCTGAGTTTCAATTCGTTCACGTTGTTATAATCTTAATTTTTCTCGATGTTGCATATTAATCTTCTTTACACTAAACAATAAAGTTCCCTCTGTATATTCTATTACCAACTAATGTCAATAGATTCTACACCTATCTACAGTAGGTGCGGCTTTAATAAAGGCACGCAACGGGCTAAGTGATACATACGAATACGATATCTCACACGAGAACGTAAGAGCAAATCCACACGGCGCGTTGCGTTGCGTTGCATCGTCGCAACGCAAATATTTTGACGCATAGCCGGCCACACAGGCGCTGCGCCATCGCAGCGTTACTACGACGCAGTCTTAACGTTCCGTCGGTGCAGCGGCGATGCACAGTTGCGGCAAGCATTTTGTAAAAACATCGCAGTCAGTCTGTAGGAAAGCATGGATTGGAAAAGACGTCTAGCATTGCTCCTATTTCTACGTCACCGCCGAAAGTTGACGCAAGATCACAAGACGGTATTGGATCTGTCCCTTCATTTCATTAAGAAATAGTAATGGAGAGTTTTTTTTGTTAGAATATCGGGAGTTGCTATTAGACGAAAAGAAGTTTTATATATTTTTTAGAATGAGTGTATCTAGCTTCGAATGTTTATTGAAGTCCTTAGAACCACACATACGAAAAAACTATACTAATATGAGGCATCTAGTGGAACCAATAGAAATGCTGGGAATTAGTTTAAGGTAAGAATTTATATAAGTAATGAAAAGATAACAGGTTTTTTGGTCTGTTTATTATATAATCAACTAATCAATATCAGTAATCAACTAAGAAATAATCAGTAATTGTCATAAGTTTAAGTTTAGAGAGACTTTATCCAGTAATTAAGTACATATTTGAAAATCGTATTCGGTTTCTTCACTTTCTTGAGATGCTTGATCTGGAGATGTAATTGAATTATTATAATCAGAATTGTATGTACTTTGAAAATTTGTTGTTTGATACCCATATGATAATGGTTGTTGAGACGTCGATGGGCCACATACATATGATGATGTTTGTCCATACCGCATTTCGTTTATAATTTGTATTACTTTACTTTGGAAACTGAGAGTTTCTCGGTCGGAAAAATCTTGTATTGATGGCAATATACCTCTGAAAAAGGACATATGGCGATTTTCCGGCTCCTTGAGAAGTTTGAATCCTTCTCTTTCAAACTCATCTATTTGCATTGCCCTTTTGCGCGCGACTGGAACATAGCGCGGAGACTCGTCTATAGTAATTTCATAATTTGTAGACGTAGATTCAGTGTTGCTTTCTCTAGGCGAGTTTTCTCTTTTTCTAAGGCATTTTGTTCCACTCTTCTCAAAAAAAGAATTTGGTTATATAAATGATACTCATTCAGATTCATAGCGCCCGAGCCCGATTTTGATGCTTCTTTTATTTTTTTTAAGTATCTGAAGAAATTATCTTTGATACTTCTCCATTTCTTCACTAAATCATTACCTGCAAACCAATAGTAAACAAGATTTAAAAAGTTATACTAAACATCGTGAATTTTTGACTACCCGAGAAACTTTACTGACATATTCAGACATCGATAACAAACAACTTTCACTATGTGACCAACTCTGGAATCGCGAAAAAAATAACAGCTGTTACCTAAAAAAGTACAATACCTACTGAACCAAAATGTATGGAACAGCTATTATTTTTTTCGCGATTCCAGAGTTGGTCACATAGTGAAAGTTGTTTGTTATCGATGTCTGAATATGACATTAAATTTTCTCGGGTAATCAAAAATTCACGGGGTATACTTAAAAAGAGAAAGAGTGCCTGATAAAAAAATTAATCGACTTATAACCAGAGATCGGAATCTGCAGGTCATTCTCTTACAAACTGGGCCCCAATCGTATTCACTTGAATGCGGACCTGGAATGACCGACAAATTCCGACCTTTGCTTATGACACACAATACCTAATTAATTTTTAATTTCCTTCATCAAGGGTCGCCTGGAAGAGATAACTTCAAGCGATAAGGCCGCCTTTTAGTATTAATTAGTTCTTATGTGCAATAAAGAATTTATCTATCTATCTCATAATTATTAAAATAATTGTTTTTGTTTCAGATACCTAGGAAGTGGAAATTCAATAACGGATTTCCATTTGAAATTCAAACGGGGAAAATCTACTATTGCATATATGATACATAGAGTTTGTCGTGCTATATGGACAAATCTTCTTCGAGACAACATCTCAGAACTGACAGTTGAATGATTCCAAACAACAATAGCGAGGGATTTTGATGTAAAGGCAAATTTTCCTCACTGTGTTGGTGCCATCGACGGCAAACACATCCGCATGTGTAATCCTGCATAAGTGGCTCACTTTTTTTTAATTATAAAGCCTTATTTTCGATTGTGTTGCTAGCTATTGTGGATTCAAATTACAAATTCATTTTTGTCGACATCGGTGCATGCGGAAAAGAATGCGATTCAACCGTGTATCTAAATTCTAAACTGTACGAGCTAATGATTAACAACAACTTACCACTACCTCATCCCCAGCCACTCTCTGGTTTCAATACACCAACCCCGTATGTATTTGTTGGTGACGAAGCTTTTGGACTGAGCAAAAATATTATGCGTCCATATGGTGGTCAAAATCTCGACTTACAACAAAAGGTTTTCAATTATCGTCTAAGCAGGGCCAGAAGATATGTCGAATGCGCTTTTGGGATTATGGCAAACAAATGGCGCATTTTTCACAGACCGATAGACGTGTCCTATAATTTTGCTACTGACGTACTGACATAATAAAAGCATGTGGTGTGCTACACAATTTTGTCGCTGATCGAGATGGTTTTAGACAAAGAGATAAATTTGCTATAAGTGTTGACGAATTTCTCCCAATACAACCCGCAGATGAAGAACAGACAGCACCGAATGCCATAAGACAGCATTTTGCGACCTATTTTATGGCTAGAGGAACTCTGCCTAAAAAAAACAATAAATATAAATACTGTAAACTCACCAACTTTGTTTTTTCGTTCAGGTGTGAAATTCTCGTAATCAGGAAATAAAACTTTTGATATTTGATCCAAGCTTTTGTTTTTAATTTTTTATTTTTAATATCTACTTGTGATTTGTCCCATATAATTTCCATTTCCTGAATCAATGTAATGAAGTAATCCATGTCAATTTCTTCAATGGTACTCATTTACCCTGCAAATAAAACTGAATACAAAAGTACGTAAAAAATGAAATGAGCTTGCGTGTATCCTCCCTATCAACGCACAAGCAACTAAGCGCTGCCGCTCCGACGTCGCAATGAGTACACCCCCTCCCGCTTCGTCTCGGGGGCTGCTGTCCATCATGTGTGCGTTGCGCCGACCCAGCGCGCCGTGTGAACACCTTGGTTATATGTATGTAAAACAACGCAACGTCAGCGCTGCGTCGACGCAACGCTGACGCAACGCGCCGTGTGGTTGCGGCCTAAGGTGCATTTTGATTTAATACGCGCGCCGCATTAATTTTTTTTCGACGATTTATTCCGTAGGCTAATTTGACTAAGGTTGTGTCCGAGGCGTGCAAAGTATTATGAACATTAGAATGTGTTGTAACTAGGTTTAAACTCGCAAGTTTGATCCTTCTGTTCTTGTACTATTATTGGCGGCTCCATGGCGCAGTGGCTTAGCAATGAGTCACAATACTAAGGGCCGCGTGTTCAAATCCCGCATGAAACAAATATTTGTATGGCTTACAAATAATTGTTCCGAGTCTGAATGTATGTCCTCGTGAAATTTGTGTATGTAAACTGCCCCCACGATACAAGAGAAAATCCTAGTGTGTAGTAGTAAATATTTAAAAAAAGAAAAAAAATAATAATTTATTCTGTGTTCTGTGTACAAAGCAATTTTGCTCGAAATTTTCTGACCACGAGTGGTTACCGGGCGCGTACGGTATGGTTAGGTATGGTAGCCTGGTTTCATTTCATACATTTATTTTTACAAAGGAAATCCCGCCTCTATAAACGTAGTAATTATATACTCTTTGTGCAAATGTTTCTATGGTAACCAACCTTGTGTATCAAATATTAATCGTGAGGTGCATTTTATATATTTATATTATCACGTCTAGATTATTGTTGCTTTCCTATTTCGTCAATGTCTTTAGTTCAAATTACACATCATGACGAATTTATATACAAAATTCTTGAGAAGCCTCCTCCAGAACCACCAAAAACACCGAGGTAAACAATTTTTTTAATTATTACCTAACATTAAATCTTTATCAAATAAGATGACCAACCGTCACGGATTAAGCGGAGCGCTTTTTCAGCAGCAGTTATCACAAACTGAAAAGTAATAATCAAGTGTATGGGGGTACCATGGGATCAGAGAGGCGAACGATTTTCTCACCTGCTTTCATTGCAAGGCGATAAAATGCTTATTTCCATAGCTTATTCCATAAAACCTTAACCTATTTCACATTTATGTGGTTTCGTTGTAAGGAGATTATATTAATATTTATTCCTTTAAAAAAAATGGATATAGCTCTTATGGAATCAAGATTATGTAGAAATATAATATGTTTTTTATTTGTTTATATATCTTTTAAATAAAAACTAACTATTGTTTTATTTTACTTTTTTGGGCTAAGTATAAATTTTCTTCTCCACTGTCACCTATGAAACTAAAGTTTTTTCAATGCATTTGAATAAAACCTTAGATTATTATATCACGTTAGATAGCTGATGAAACGTAGATATGTAAAAAAACATCTGCCGAACAATTGCCATAATATTATTTTTAGATATCCCTTAGAGAAAAATAAAGTTTCTAATAACTTTTCTTATTTCTCTACTTTCTCTTGTCTACTATAGTCTATTCAATTAACTTGTGCACTATTTTAATGATTGACGTCCTAAAACATCTTATTACAGATGTTAAAATGCAATAATAATAATAATAATAAGATACAAAAAATAAACAAAAATAAATGTAGTAGCCTAAAAATCGGCAATTATCAATAAAAAAATTAAAAGTCGAATATCTCGAAAAGGGTTAAGTTTAGGGTAGGGTGTTTCATAGTGAAATAAGTCAGAAATGATGGGACGCCCTTAATGGATCTAGGACAATTTTTTTGTAACCCGTAATGTATGTATATATATATATATATATATATATATATATATATATATATATATATATATATATATATATATACTCACCTGATGGTAAGTGACTACCGCCGCCCATGAACAACTGCAACACCTGGGGAACCAGAGGAATTACAGATGCGTTGCCGGCCTTTTAAAAAGGAGTAGGCTCTTTACTTGAAGGTCTCTAAGTCGTATCGGTCCGGAAAAATCGCTTATGTTAATCGATTTCACAAGGCAGTCGTGCGAGGAAGGAAACATCTTCTAAATCGCACAGTGGTGGACCGCCAATCATCCAGATGGTGAGGATGGTATCGGGAGTTCTGCCGCGATGTACGTCCGTGAAATTTGGCGGCTGGGATTATTCCGAATAATTCCTCAGAGCACTCCCCGTGGTAAATGCGAAAGAAAATGCAAAGGGATGCAACATCTCATCGCAGTGCCAATGAATCGAGCCCATCGGAAAGGACTCGGTCGTCGACGATTCGAGCCGCTCTCCGCTGGATGCGGTCAAGTGGAAGGAGCTGGCACTGGGGAGCTCTTGCCCAGAGATGGGAACAGTATTCAATGTGAGGCCGAACCTGCGCCTTGTAAAGTGGCAGGCGGTGTGCCGGCATGAAATACTTTCCCGATTTGCTGAGCACGCCAAGCTTTTTAGAGGCCTATTTGGCCTTCTCTTCCAAGTGACCACGAAACTGCACGTCACTCGATATGTCGACTCCGAGGATTCCGATATTCCGATAGCTGAGGCAAGAAGTTCGAAGAAGAGTTCTTTTTAGCGGTTAACGCGCAAACTTGTGTCTTCTGAGGATTAAACTGGAATAGATTTAGTCGCCCCCAATCTGAGACTTTGTTCAGCAAAGACTCGACTTGAGACACAAGTTTGTTCCGGTACTCGGCGACGTTTTCCGAGAAATATAGGCACGGCCGGTGTATAGAGCATCACGAGTGCTGTCATCTGCATAGCAATGAATGTTACCAGTTAGCAACATATCATTGTTATGCAGAAGAAACAGCGTTGGTGATAGCACACAGCCTTGTGGAACACCAGCGTTAATATGCTTGTAGTCGGAGCATGCACCGTCTACAACGACCTTGATGCTCCGATCTGTAAGGAAGCTGGTGATCCAATTGCACAATTTCTCGGGAAGCCCATAGGAAGGGAGCTTCGAAAGAAGAGCCAAACCCGATCGAAGACCTTCGCACTGTCCAAACTAACGGCCAACGCCTCCCCCTTGGACTCTACTGCCTCCGCCCATTTATGAGTCAGGTATACCAGAAGATCACCAGCTGATCGGCCCGACGAAAACCGTATTGGCGGTTACTAATCAGCTGGTAATCCTCAAGGTACCGCATGAGCTGGCAGTTAATAATTGATTCCATTATTTTGGAGAACAAGGAGGTGACGGCGATAGGCCTGTAGTTGGATGGGTCTGAGCGGTCGGCTTTTTTAGTGATCGGGTGGACAAAAGCTGTCTTCCATGATTTCGGGACTACGCCTAGGAAGTAGGAGTACCGGAAAAGACGCGTTAGAACCGGTGCCAACTCCGGAGCACACGTCTTCAGCACAATTGGGTGGATTCCGTCAGGCCCACTCGACTTCTGGATGTCCAGGGAGAGGAGTGCTTTGTGAACCGAGCGCTGTGAGAACCGCACATCCGGCATGGAGAACTCACACCGCGGGATGGTCGGCGGTATTTTCCCCCCGTCATCAAGAGTCGAGTTGGACGCAAAAAGGGAGCCTAAAAGCTCGGCTTTGCCTTTAGCGGCTTGGGCCAGTGAGTCGTTCTCCCTGTGCAGAGATGATAGTGATGGCTTACAGAAATTCCCTTGGACAGCCTTGGCGAGAGACCAGAATGCACGGGCTCCCGGAGGAAGGCGAACTAGTTTCTCGCCAATTCTGCCTATGTGCTCTGACTTTGCAAGGCAAGGCAATAACTCTTTTGTAGGATCTGGAGGCGAAGTTATATTTCTTTTTAAGTATGCTGGTGTTTACATCCCGAGTCGCCGAAGCCGCAGCCCAGGCTTGATAACACTCCTGCTTACTGCGTAATGCAGTCTTACAGGAGCGACCAAACCAAGGCTGAGATCTGCCTTCTGATCGGTTAAACGTGAACCGAGCCATTCGGCGTGATGGCCGTTAAAATCGCCAAGGATCACGATCTCTGCGGTTGGGACCTGTTGTAGCAAGGAATCTTTAGCCATTTGGACGTGGTCGATGAGTCGGTCTGTTTCAGCATTACCGCTATGGGACCTATAGAGGTACCCATAGACGCGCGGATGGTCGTTGTTGTCTACGCGTAGCCAAAGGATGGAGAAGTCCGAACCTTCAAGACTGCCGAGGCGTCGAGAACAGATGTGTAGAGTGCTCCAATTTGTACCCCGGGTAGGAGAGATACGAATTATCAGCCGGAGAGGACACCTGCGTCTCGGTCAGAAAGAGCAAGGCTGGCTTTGCCGTCTCGAGGTGGTAGTGGACGGCGTTGAGGTTCGAGTAAAGTCCCCTGATGTTGCAGAAATTCACGGATAGCGTGACAGGGGTCGCGGTGGTATTGTTGCTCGGTTTGCCCCGAGCAGTTATGTTTTTGAGCGGAATTTTGCCCCCCCCCCCCCCCCCAGAATATGCGGAGGGATTCTCCAGGGATGCTGGTACGCCGGTATTCTGTGAGGTCGTGGTACCATGTGCCACGTATGGGCCGGCTCGAGCCGATATATATATTATATAATCTAATAATTAGATAATAATAGGAATTAGATTCTAATTTATTGTGAAAAACACTATTTATATATGTATAAATATATATTTTTCTTATGAATAAATAGATTAGTTTTTTTTAAAAAAAACTTTATTTATGCAAGTAGTATTTATGGTTGGCAAGAAAATATTTGTGGCTCTTTAAAAACTTGGAAATTTTGTAAATTGTAATTTTTGACTCTTTCGCCTCCAAAGGTTGCCGACCCCTGGGTAAAAGCGACTACGGTTGAGCATAAGTTCGCATTTTGTAGGTACTAAAAAATTCACAGTACCTATTAGCGACTTAACGATGCAGGCAGGTCAGGCATAGGCCGTCTTCTCAGCACTGCCAAATTAGTGTAATCACGCCGATCCCATCGCACTCTAAAATGTCGTTGTCAAAATGACCATGAATCGCTACCATTTAATGACAAAGCCAATTATTACGAGTACTTGCCATGTCGTATAAATGTCAACGTTTGTCGATTCATTCGATCGATCTATGGTTTATCCACTTACGTTTGGCTATATCATTACTGATGCCAAATCATCATGGTACACGATTGAACAACGCGTCCAAATGATAAAACTTTATTATCAAAAAAAAAGGAGTGTTAGTGCAAATGTTGCGCGCGGTGGCCCTTTAAAGTCGACTCTGCAATGTTTGCTGGATAAATTCGAAACGACCGGTTCGGTAAACAATCAGCCAACGCCAGTATGTCAAAGAGACGTCAGATCGGCTGAGAACATCGCCGTTGTCCGTGAACGTGTGCAAGAAAACCCAGCAGCACAATTCCACGTAGTACACAAGAATATTGCCTTTCGCAGACATCAACTTGGTGGATTTTGCGTCGGGACTTGGGCACCCATACAACATACAACTTAAAGTTAATGACGACAAACAACGCCGTTTCTTAGCTAACTAGGTTTCAGAGCGTTTGGAAGAGGACCCCAATTTTGGCCAAAAAATCATCTTTAGTGATGAGGCGTATTTTTGTATGAATGGCTATGTTAATAAGTAAAATTTATGTATATGGGGCGATGCCAATCCACACGAGGTTCACCAGATTACAATGCATCCACAAAAAGTTATCTACTGTTTGGTGCGGATTATGGCCGGTGGCGTTATGGTCCGTACTTTTTCCAAAACGATGTTGGCGAGGCCATCACTGTCAACGGCGAGATCTACAGATCGATGATAACCAATTTCTTTTGGCCTACATTAATCCTTTCCCTGTCCCATGAATCATATATGAACTCATAATCGAAATGATTGTCTAACCATTGTGTCTGTTTCGCGGACAGGGAAAGTGTTATCAATATGGACGTGGACGATCTGTGGTTCCAACAGGATGCAGCTACATGTCATACAGCGGACGCCACAATGGAAATTCTGCATAAATGATTTGAGGGACAGACATACAGACAGACAGACGGACAAAAATCTTAGTCATAGTTAGTCTCCATGACTTGTTTTTTCGGGAAATATTAGAATTACAGACACCACTTTTCTTCACATTTATTATATGTAGGTATAGACTTTATGCAACCGGAACGGAATCTCCCCTCACCCTTGGCCTGACACACATTTGGTAAACTTTTGCTACATTCATAAACTTTGTTAATTTTCAAAAGGAGCATTACTTTTAAATAACGCAAATTTTAGGAAATAGAATCTGCCTGTTATGACCACTACTAAGAATAAAGCAGCATTTCACTCATCGGGTTGAAACACTAGGCTTTAAAAGAAAAGTATATAGTCACTTTTATTGTGAGCTTATTTTATTTTTAAAATGCATAGGTATGAATCCAAATTGGAGCGGCAGCTAAAAGAAACCAAAATTCCTCAGTTGAAGCGAACTTTTGGATATGCGGAGACACCTTTGAAACCACCTGAACAATTTTTAAAAAAAGGTGAAGGTATTGGTCAGCAAAGTAAAAAATCGGACCACAAATGCTTAGCTTCTGGTAATCTTCCACCAGTGCCGAAACGGCCGCCGCCAGGAAAGGAACCAGAGAAACCAAAAGTAAACTTTAAGGTTCTTAATATAAAAAAAGTTATCAAAGCAAAAGCAAAGCCCGTGGAACCCAGGTAAGATAACTGTTCTAAAAATACCAATAAGTTGAATAGTGGTTCCACAGTAGGACACAGACAGATTTTTGTAAGGGCAATACATATATTAAATTCGCCACACTACTGCATTGCATATTTTCACAACGTTGCATACTTCATTATCAGTGGTATATTCCACAAATCTTTTTTATACGTTTTTCATTGCTAAGCTGCATTTTTTAAATTGTTTATTCAATATAAATTAAATAAGAAAATCACGTCAAACCAATAAAAATAATATACTATTTTTAATTATATTTGCTCCCCTTTAAGTCGAGCATTTATATTATGAATACTGAATCATTCGCGTAACACATGTTTACCCTCTCTATCTCGTGTATTCATTCGCATTTAAGATGAATTTGTCTGCTTAACTCGCAATCCCATCTAATATAGTAAATAAGACATTGACTGAGGAGTATAGCGTAGCTGGCAATTAAAATTTTTTTGTTTATTTCAAAGAACATCAGCCTTCTTGACAACTTTAAGCTCGTCTAGTAAGTATTTGTTACAAATATAATATACAGAAATAGCATTTCGGAGAGTGTGCACAGGAATTGCATAATTTAATTCCTCCCTCTCGTTTCCACCATCGGACAACCAGACGTTCGGCCAGTCTCCACCCTTTCGTTGTTGACTTACCACGCATTATCCAAACGGTTTGCTGCGTCGTTCATCATGCGTACAGCAAAGGAGTGGAATAAGTTGCCAGCAATTGTCTTTCCCTCCGATTATATTGTAGGTGTCTTCAAGGCAAGAGTGAAAAAATAAGCTTTTGTTAAGTCAGTGCGATTCACCATCTTCACCAATTACCATCAGGTGGGATTGTAGTTAAGCGCTGGCTTATAATAATATAAAAAATACAACGGAATGGCCTTGGGTATTATTTTTTCTATATTTATTATCATCATCATCATTACAGCCCTTTACAAGTCTACTGCAGAACATAGATCTCCACCAATGAATGCTGCAATGCACAGTCTTGAGGCTTATCAGGTTGACTTCACCTAATGGGGGCCGCCCCACATTTCACTTACCGGTACGAGGTTGCCACTCGAAAACCTTTCTTCCCCATCGGTTGTCGGTTCGTAGAACTATATGGCCGGACAATTGCCACATATTTTCTTTATATATAAAAATTACGTGTCACATTGTTTGTCGGCGATGAACTCCTAAACTACAAAACTGATTGCAATGAAATTTTGCTCACTGTGTGCAGTTTGGTCCAACTTGAGAGATAGGATAGTTTTTATCCCTATAAGTGACCCTCAATATTTTTTATTACTAATTTAGGACACAGGGTCGTCGCAGAGGGCAAAACAATGTCTGCCTAGTCAGCTAGTAATATATATATAAATAAGTGTATAAATTAATATGAAAATTAAATGTTTAAGTTTCGGGCTTGTAAAAGCATGCTTTTTATTTCATTTTTACACATTTTAACAAGTTGCAACCGCGCCAACACTTCCCTCCCAGGTGGTGAATATTTAATTTAAGTAATATTCATCATTACATCCTAACAAAGTCCAATGCTGAACATAGTCCTACCTAATATTCCCTCATAAGAGCGATACTACTGCCCATCTCCTGTTAACCAGTAAGAGAACTCACTACTCCGTAGTAATAATAAATTTACATTGTAATTATTGTCACTCTAGCCTTATGTCTAACAAGTTAGTCCAAGTGGTGGTCAGCTCTCCGGATTTTAGGTATCAATTTATTGTTATAATTACAGCTCACTAGCTCACTGTTGGACCTAGGCTTCTCCCAAGAAATGCCACGAGGCACAATCCTGAGCTACCTGCATCCATCGACTTTCTGTATCTCTTACCAGGTCATCACCCCATCTAGGTTTTAGATATGCTTCTAGGAAATTACAGAAAGAGGTTGTTTTAATAGAAAAGGACGCTTGAAGAAGCTTACCTAATTTTTTAATGCAGCTACTTACATACATTTAAATCAGCTGAAGACTACGCTGATTTGATCGATACTCCAAACATGATTTTAGCGCTTCGACGACAACACAATTTTTAAGATAATCCTGATGCCAGTCGTCCAGACGTCTTTGATGCAGGTCCGTTACCGCGCGGGCTTGAGCGTGTTGGAGTCAGGACGGATTTGGAGAAGCCGTGATATTATACTATCATAGTTCACATGCAACAATGGGTTACGCAAAGGTCTGTTGAGACGCCTTATGCTCTGAGGACGAACGAACCGCTATATACTGAGAAAGGCCTAAGTTCGCAGAATGGAGTTGGGGGAAAGGGTATCTTTATTAATTGAGCTATCATTGATTAAACAAGAAATCGGAAACACAAAATGTCTGGGCGGTGCGGTCTGTGGATGATCCTAGTGAAATACCAGGTCATAGTTACGAAGTTATTGTATTGGCACTGGTTCTTCTACGTCTGCAAAATTTCAGATTCAAACGCTCTTTAGTATAATTTTATAGCTCCTTGCCTTCTTTTTTGTTTTGCGAATTTATTTACCTCTCCTTGTACTATTCACAGATGTGGGTAAAGAGTTCCAGGGGTAGCAGCTTTGTTCCGACAATCGTAAGGTACCGGTATATATACTGTATATACATAAGTGCACAATGCACATATTTTGTGGTTGTAGGTGGCTCAGGGTCACCTTGATGGCGGTAGCGTGTTGGTTGGAGCGCGGATTAGACATGTTTGGGTAGACCTATAGGTATTCAAATGAACTTGTGATGGACTACAACGATAGTAATGAAAGTAAAACTATGAATATTTAACTATATTGAGTGTAATTTTAAATTAATCCATATCATCACAACTTTCATCATTAGGTTAGTGGATACGAGAAACGGACATATTAAAAAAATCAAAGGTTCGGGTGAAGTCCCAGAATACTGCCTCAGGCAAGATTTCGGGCAGGTGCCAGAGTACTTAATGAAAAGAAATAGAAGAATTCAAAAACAATTGGAAAAAATTAAACAGGCTGAGGAGAATAAAGAAAGCCTTTGCAAACTTATAACTGAAGAAGAGCGATTGAAACTTCTGGAAGTGAGTTTCCCCAATTGGTATAATGAATTGCTTGTTTTGACATAGTATACACAATTATGACATAGTATATTTATTTCTATTGGTATTTAACTAAACGTTGTCTGTTATGTTATTTTAGGATCTAAAACACAACTGGCAACTAATGCAAAAAGCGTTTTTACAATTACCCATGCTCACCGATACGATACCGAAAATACTCAAAAAAACTAAAATGGAACAGGAACTTCGGCAGTTGGAGAAAGATATAGCATTAATTGAATCAAATCCTTTTATCTATATCTATGATTAGTACTAATATAGAACAACAGAATTATATTACCATTTCGGGGAAATTTATACTCTATTATCTAATTTAGCTGTACACTTCTTTTTTTTAACAATTATATGCAATATAATAAAAATTATGCCCTTTCAGTTTGTTTCTCATTACCATATTTAAATCACACTTTTTTGACTCAAGCATCATTGAGTGGTGATTGTATCAATCGTTATTCTGAAAGATACTATTAAGTACGTGAAATTGTGGATTGCAAAAAATACAAAACTTAAACTGTGATGAAAGCTTTAAATAATTTCCTTAGCTTTGACCGGATACTTGATGGTTTCCGAATAGTAGCATCGTAAGGGCGACTTTCATTATTTGAAGTGATGACCTGCATTTGTAATGGCGATGGCTTAAGATGGTTCCGGTCCGTTCTTTGCGGCAATCTACAAGTATGGGGGTCTGTGTTAGCAGTGAATGCTGCTCTCTAATCGGGTCCTGTCTATGGGCCGTTGATAATTTCGATTTCAACAAAAAATTCAAGAATTAACCAAGTGCATTGCGGCAAAACTTCCTCATTTTCGGGAGTGGTTTTACGCGGTAAAGCCACATTGCAGCTATATTATGGTTCTAGCACGAATGGCTCGACTCGACCGGGGTAGGACCACGCTCTCACAGTGTACCAACGTAAAATTACAGCTATGTTTCGTATGTTGAGTGTAGAGAACCGGAGACCCTTTTTACTGGAAACGAGGCATTCCATCTTAGTCGTTAGGGGTGTCGCATCTGCAAATTAGTAGTAGTAATTAGTAATTAATCGCCAGTATTTAGCCCTATTTCTTTTTCTACAAAATCCTTTAAAACTTCTACTAAACCTTACGTGGAAAAAAGTACGATTTAAATAATTTAATTAACTTTCACAAATTTATAAAATTGTGTGGACTTTCTTTTATTTTTAACACTTTGTCTCTCGTTATTTAGTAAAATAAGCTTTATAAATTCTTTACTAAATACCTGTCATCACATTAACTTCACTTTTAAGATACTTTCTGAGACCTTGCTGATGAACTGAACTGAGGGACCACACTTTAATGGCTGTAACTTTTCATTCTTTTACAAATTCCAGGATTCGTTCTACAATTGTTTTAGGCCTACTACTAAATCCTTAGCGATTAACTTTTCGAATTCCTGTCTTGGTTCCTCAGAGCTCCCATACATTAAATTTCTGGTATTACATTACTGGAATAATAATTTAAAAATAAACTTCCATGAACAAATATATTTATTGCGATTACAGAACTACAACTTTCACAAAAATATGGAATACAGAATCATTATTAGGTACTTATTATACTTAATTGACTAGAATAATACTTTGCACTAAAGATTGAGCCTCATATTTAAAATAATAGATATGTATATTATTATTAGACATGCACAATCGAGGCCTTTCCCAAAAAGATAAAATTTCAGTTGTCCCTTTTTACATTGGTTGTATGTAAACAAACATTCTTATAAGAAATTATTAATTTATGCATACATACAGTACAAATCAGTCTCGCTGCTTTCCAGAACAGGAAGTGTTAACCGATTAAAATTGGTAATTATAGACTTATGGCGCCCGCAGTGTTAAGCGTGACTGACTCACGTGCAGGAACCAGTGAGCGTCTGTTTCTTCGTTGTTCAAAATTAAAGAGAGCTGCTCACGACGGGTCGTGCGCGCTGTGCCCTTGTCACACTTGGTGCGGGCGGAGGGCTGGGTAAGACGGATATCCAACGCGTGTTCCCGCATGTGGGCTTGTTACTTAGGGTGCTTACATAAAGAAACAGGTGTCCGGTACAGCCAAATCAGTGCTGGTCGGTACCTATCGGTGCAGGGTTAATACAAAAAGAAACAGGTATATCTGTCCTTATTGACAACCATGTCCTCCAGTTCGTCAGACAACGAATTTTTACTTTTAAAAAGTGTTTATTTTAAATTTAGAAAGAAAAGAACAGTTGGTGTCTCTAATATTAACAGGAAAAGAAAAAAATATGGGTCATTTATTTATAAAAGACAAAGTTTGATGAACACAGGTTTTATGATTATACCAGGATGGCACATGAAACGTTTAACTACATATTGAATAAAATAGAACATCGCTTAATTAAGAGATGGTGTAAATGGCATGTTCAAATATCAAATAGGGTGGGTGTACCAGTCCCAAACCAGGTACCAGTGGTTGATCACTCATATGTTCAATTGAATAAATTAAGAAATGGCGGGCAATTTTTAAGAATTCAATAGTTTTGTTATGTAGGCTAGACTATACCAATCTTCCGAACATCATTTTTTGCGAGAGTAAACGAAAAATATCGATACCTAGCTCTTTTTCTCAGACCAGTGTCTCGTTTACTGCCTTTCGGCCACCGTTACAGTTAGACTTGCACGTCGATATGATAAGTTCAATATTTCAATATTACCTGTTATTTCCTAATTACTGTCATCAAGTTGTATTATTTTAAAAGTTTTGTATTTAAGTGCTATGCGGTGTTATTTTTATTAAATAATTACATTATCAAGTATTTTTAAAGGTGGTTAACTACTGCAACACACCTTGTACTGAGTTCCTATTGTTGACCAACTGGTTTGCAACTGGTTGCTTATGGTGTTTCTTTTTTTGTTCTTTTTTTTCATAGCGATGCTTTTGTTTGACAATTTAGAGCCAATTATTAATCGTTTTATGCGGTGTGCCCCAGTTGTTGACCACTGGTTTGCTTATTTGTTCTTATGGATGACCACCAGATTAGAGTTTAAACTTTTTTCGTTGTTTTAGATTGTAGATAGACCCAAAAAACATTTTTTAAATATACAGAGCTAAATTTGCTTAAGTATCTCTATGAAATTCATAAAGGCGCTAAAATAAGGCTAATATCTCTGAAATATCATATCCCTCTCCCGACTGTTATAAACAAACTGAAAATAAGACATTCTCAACGGAAAATGGACCCACCAACTATCTTGACCCTACAAGAAAAGTTTGTATTTTTTTTTAAATATGATAAGGGTGACAAACGAGCACACAGTCCACCTGATGGTAAGTGGTTGCTGCGGCCCTATTACAAATAAAAATGTAGATGCGTTGTCACCCGTGAGGACTAAGATGGAATGCCTCATTTCCAGTAAAAAGGGCCTCCAGCCACCTGCACTCACCAAGCGAAACGCAGAAGTAAATCTCTACTTCACGCTGGTTTTCTGTGAGGTCGTGGTACCACCCCGATTCGAGCCGGCCCATCCGTGCGACAGCAAAAGCTGCCGTGTGGCTCTACCACTGTTAAAATGTATGCCATAATGATTACCAAACCGAGTTGACTAAACTAAACCCAAAAATGAAAATATCTCGGAAATATCATATCCCTCACCCGACTGTTATAAACAAACTGAAAATAAGACATTCCCAACGGAAAATGGACCCACCAACTATCTTGACCCTACAAGAAGAGTTTGTATTGTCTAGGTGGATTAACGCTAACGCTAAAAATGATTGTTAATTGGAAAAGCCAAATAATAAGAGAGCACATCTTTAACTGATTTTGGACCTGGACTATCAATCCAACAGCCAGAGGAAAAGTTACCCTACTCCCACAGGATTTTGTTATAGGATAAGGGTGACAAACGTACACAGCGTCCAACTGATGGTATGTGGTTGCAGTGGCCCATAGACATCTACATCTATCCTCAATTACGAATAAAATGCAGATGCGTTGTAAAACGTGAGGACTAGTCTCGTTTCCAGTAAAAAAGGTATCCGGTTCTCTACACTCACCTGACAAAACAGAAGCGTTATGCTGATATTTTACGCTGGTATTCTGTGAGAGCGTGGTCCTGCCTCGGTCCAACTGGACCCATTCGTGCTACAACTATACTACTAATACAGCTGTAACATGGCTCCACGTAAAAAATCTTGAAGCGTCACCACCAAAAGCCAAAGGTAGTTGTTATAAGTAGTAACTTAGGCTACTTTTATTTTAGGGTTCCGCGCAGAAAATTTCACGCGGGCGAAATCGCGGGGAACAGCTAATATAGGATAAAGCTTTCTAGTTCTTTTGGTAATTTTACGGTTTCTAGATAAGATTTTGTCAAAATCGCTTACCTCAATATGATGAGACTGATTTATTTAAATCTAAGTCTGTGATAGGTGATACTGATAATTTATGCGCAAAGCTATTTTTCTATTGTAGTTTGCTAATAACCGTTGTTAACGTTAATGTCCTAATTTTCATGTTTGTCTTCTAATTAGTTACCTTCGACTGTGCCATTAAAATTGGTTGTAAGCCTAAATAAACTTTCAGACATTATATGAAAGTCAATTTGAGTAACAAAATAGTGTTTTATTTTCAATTAGCTACGTTTTCTTGATAAGTTTTTCAGTGGTCAACTATTGACGCAAAAGTGGTCATTTATTGGAGCGCACTGGTCAAACTTAGGCACATTCCCGATTTCGTACAATTAATGAAATCTATAAATAACTTAAATATTTGGAATCAAATATTTTATCTATATTGCAACATTAGTGATCAATAAACAACTTTGTATATACATATCTATGTTAAAATTAAATAATACCAGTTCAGAGCATTTCGAAGTGAAAATGTGTCCTTAACTGGTTTGGGACTGGTACACCCACCCTACCAAGGCTATCATCAAAACTTCGTTATCCACATCAATTTTCATAAACACACACACCCTACACCGGCAAACGCTTAAACCCGTATGGCTCGGTATCGGTATTCAGTACACGTACATGTAGTCGGCACCGACAAGTTTAAATCTGTTTCTTTATAAGGGACCGCATAAGATAACATATAAATATTATACCTGCACCGATCCGTACCGTTCAGCACAGATTTGTCCTTAGCACCCTTATGCCTAGGCCACACATACCGCGATAACGCGAATATTCACATTATCGCGATGTATTTAGCCAAATATTCGTGAATACTTCGTGACTTCTTGCGAAGTCTCAAGCACATCGCTTCGCTGTCGG